AAGGCTGCCAGTTCAGTTCAATTCTTGGCCACTTTTGCTTATTGGCCTTTAATAAATGAGAAAAAATTAGTGAGTTTCTCTGAGTCAGGTGTGATATAGTGGGGAAAAAAGAGCATGTTATGATGGGGAAATGAGACATTTTTGGGGGACTAGCAATCTGAATCTGTGCCAGTAACCTAATGCCCATTCTTGTTAGCCTATAGTCTAATCACTGCCCCTTCTTTAATTATCTGATCCTGCAAGACCTGTTTACCTAAGTACTACTCCCACTTTAGAGAGGCCATAAACCATGAACAATACACAACCTCCAGACGGAGTTATCAGCACTGGCACCAGGCCAGGCCTTTAGATGTGGTCTCACAGCCCCCACCCCAACACACGGGGCTTTTTGCAAAGCCCTCGAAAGGTCCGGAAGTCCCATCCCATATTTTGGGGACAAGGAAACCAAAGGGTATAAAGGGAAAGCTTCCTCCATATTGGCTTGCTCAGGATTTGGAAAGAAACAGTCTCCCCTGAGTCCTGTACCGATACCTGGGAAACATCTAAAAATAAATGGGTTTTTCCTGTGCCTCTGGTACTCCTGCGTATTTTTGGGTCGCCTGGTAAATTTTGTAACTGTTGTTTAGAGATAGGTGTGTGTTTTGAATTCTGCTCTACCTCTCACTGGCTGTGCCACCATGGGCAAGTAATTTCACCTCTTCAAGCCTTACTTTGAAGGAAGTAACACCAGCCTCAAAACCTGAAGATTAAACCTGGGATATAAAGCACCCAGTCCAGCATCTGATAGGCAGTAGGCAGTCAGTTCCTGATAGTTTTTAATCACCTTTACTGTCTGCCTGGACATCCTTGCATGGGGACAGGGGTGTGAGAGCAGCCTTTGCTGCCAGTCCCTTGTGCTACATCACGTGGCAAGATGACTGAGACGACTTCTGATCACCTCACTTGCTATGAACCAATGCCATGCTGCTTCTTTCCCAACACAGGCTGGAGCACAGTGAATGGGACTCTGCCCGGACTCCTATCATCGGCTCCTGTGGCACCCAGGAGCAGGCAGTGTTAATAGACCTTCCAGGCAACAGCTGTCGAAGGGTAAGAGGGGAAAAAGGATAAAGAGAGAGTACTGTCCCATACTGCAGGGCTGCTGTGCTGAGGCAGGGGATCAAGGAGAAGGAATGTGCAGTTCCGGACACTGAACAGCTGATGGGGCTAAGACTGGAAGGATAGGGAAGGTTGGAGGAATCTGGTGGAATTTGCCTATTTGTTGACCTTCAGGAAACTTTCTCTCAGAATATCTCTTTTTTGCAGGGGTTGGGGAAGGAAAAGGGACATTATCTCTACAGGGTAAAACTCTCTGACTTTCCAATTTTTCTTTCAGTCACGGAGTGGTGCTGGATGGAAGCGGGTCCTACGTTCGCTCTTTCATTCCCGGACCCGAGTGCCTATGCTGGCTGCCATCTACTTTTTGATGGTTCATGTCCTGCTCATTTTATGTTTCACGGGCCATTTATAAACTTAGTTCTCACCTTTTGGAACACTACTCTTGGAATTTGGAATTCCCTCACCTCTAACATCAAAACCATCAATTCCAGTGGAATAGTCATCTTCCCACTTACAGGTCTTCTCTCCAAGTCTCCACAGAACGTGCCTGCAAAAACAGAAGTGGATGGAGCACAGGTCAGAGCTGCAAGGACCATCGAGTCTGCGTTTTTCTACTGCCCACGGCCAGAACCTTTTTGCATAGTCTGAGGAGGCCCCACATTTGGTTGCTGGGCTTAACATTTTTTCAGATTCCGTCAGGCCTTGATCTCTTGTGAAAGATGCGGAGGAATGTTTTCCAGCCAGGAGGGTGGCTCCAATAAACCTAATAATCTGAAGTCCAGTATCATTCATTTCTCCTGCTTCAGGGGGAAGGTGGATTCACTATAACAAAGTTCTGGTGAACATTATCCCAGGGCTATCTGACTAGGTCAGGTCTCCTGGTGGGAGCTGACGGGTTTTAGCTGTTGGATCACAGGAAAGGACATCTTCCCTGGCTGTTCAGACAGCATTGGAGTAAGACTTGTGATCCTGAACTGTAAGGATAGGATCCCATTGCTGATGCCCTCTATCACGTGTGTACCAAGGTACTGAGTGGCCCGTGCCTTTCCTTTCACTGAAAGGCAGGAAGAACTGATTATAGACAGCGGGATTCAGATGCTTCTCATTTTGTGTTACCCAGATATGCCTCGAATGTGGGCCCTACGGCAGTACACTAGGAGCCAGTCCTAGGTGAGGCACAGGCTCTCAACCAGGGGGATCTGGCTGCTCTGGGGACCACTCCTACTTTGCTGTTGGTAACAGTTATTCCACTTTTTCAACTTCATATTCATCTGCCCTCTGTGGTAACAGAGCTAAGGAAAACGGAGGGAGAATATGGAGAAGACCGAATATTTAAATCTAGGCCTGAGAGTGACAGCAGGATCAAATTTCATTTGTGCCTCTTCCCCAACCCCTCAACACCTACCTGTTGATTATTTTCTCATTGTACACATGATGTCTTCCTGACTTGCTCTCACCACCCAAAGAATAGAAAACACTGGTGAACTGACTGATCTGTTCTAATCATCTATTCTGTAGTGACCATATCTTGGTCACCCCAACCAGGAACTTTCCTGAATAAATGTAAAATAATAAAATTATTTTCAGAATGAAAAACTGGTGGTGGTGTGTGTACATGTGTTTGCATGTTAAGGGGAAGAGATGTAGGAGGGGGTAGCCAGGAATGGATACAGGGGTAAAAAGCTCTACATATTTCAGGTCTCCTGACTAGCATCAGTAATGGCTACATGTGTCCTTCCAGCTTAACCACTAGACTGCAGCCAGGGTAATGAAGTAGAGTGAGGAAATTTCATCCAAATACTGAACCAAACAAGCTGGGCCTTAAGGCATGAGATTGATGCAGGTTTGCACCTGGGCCTGGGAAGACTCTTACCTGGTGCATATAGAAAACATGGGGCCCCTAGGGGGTCCCTCTGGGCGGGAGTAGGGGAAGGAAAGTCTAAGGCATAGTGGATAGGCATTATTATGTTTTAAGCTGCTGCTTGAGAAAAGCTAACACTTTCTTAAGGTACAAACATTGAATCAAGTCAATCTGTCTTCAATGCCCATGCTGTTTCTATGTGCAACAACTCACTGCTTCTCACTGGGAGTGGACTTGGGACATTTGCTAAGTAGAGATGAGAATTCTTGGTGTCATCTCTAGTTAAATTTTATAGTTTCTCCAAAAAAGTACCTGGATGGTGTATCACAGCATCTAGTTGGATCATTCCTATTTTCAACACTGAACTATTATTCAGAATGTCTACAACTTTACTCTTTCTTAAAATAATTTCAGTGCTGCCACAATAAATAGGTCATGAAGTAAGAGAGTTCAATAAATAAAACTCTCCCCAGGCGTAGAATCCTTAGATTTGGAAGTGACTGAAGTCCTAACTTATTCCTAGTACAGAAATCCCCTCCTCGGTATCTTAGTTTCATCCAGTCTCTGCTTGAAGCTAGTGGAGACCTCATGACTGAGCAAATCAGGTCACAACTCCACCTCAATCAAGATTAAGAGAGGCTTGCCTGGCCAATGTGCTCAGTTGGGTAAGCATCGTCCCATGAACCAGGAGGTTATGGTTTCATTCCCATTCAGGGCATGTTCCCAGGATACCCAAGTTGTGGGCTTGATCCCCAAAGGGGGGCGTGTGGATGCTGCCAATCAGTGTTTCTCTTTCATTGATGTTTCTATCTTTCCCTCTCTCTAAAATCAATAATAATAAAAATACATATATTTAAAAGAGAAGATTAAGAGAGGCTAGGTCAGATACAATGACAAATACCTCCTAATTTTCAGTAGCTAAATCAACAAAGGATTATTTTCTAGTCAAAAACTCCAAGTCCCTCACACAATAGATTAAGTGTTGTCATTCTCAGGTGGGGACCCTCTCACTCCCCTACTGAGAATGGACCCACTCTGGAGAATTTGCAGTTGCTGGGCACTGGGCAAAAGGATGGCAAAGCTTACCCTGGTCTTAAAGTCTCCACCAGAAAGTGATGTATTTCATTACATTTCACTGGCCAAAACAAGTCACCTGAGCAAGAAGGAAGGGAGGGCCCAGCCAGCGTGGCTCAGAGGTTGAGCGTCGACCTATGAACCAGGAGGTCACGGTTCGATTCCTGGTCAGGGCATATGCCAGTGTGGCGCGTGCAGGAAGCAATCAATAAATGACCCTCTTTCTCCTCATTGATGTTTCTATCTCTCTGTCCCTCTCCCTTCCTCTCTGAAATTAATAAAAATATATTTTTTAAAAAGGGAGGAGCAGCCAATCTTGATGAACAGTAATACAGAATGCCACAGATCTCCCATCATCTGGTACCACCTACTTCTTTCCGACTTCTTCCTACTGTGCGGAACCAAATCTCCCTACCGGTTAGCTCAGACTCCTCACTGTACCCTAAACAATCGGAATTTTTCTCTTTCCATGTATTTATTAACTTTCCCCTGTGACTTATTTCCTTCCATAATTCAGTTTATCAGTATTTATTTGAACACCTACTACATGCAAACCCAGTTTTGTGGGTAATGTGCTGTGGGTAATGTAAAGTTGAGTTTCTGTTTAAACCTTACCTTGCAAGATCCTTTTTCTCATTAAGCCTTTCTTGACTACTTCAGCCAATACCAAACGGTTTACATTCCTTTACCATAACACATGCAACTGCCCACCTATTTAAGACACAAATGCTGTTCTACAGTGTTCTGTTATGTGTTTTCTGGTTGAATGTTTTGCTTCCCTAACCAGAAAACAATGTAAACTGGATATAAACTCAAGAATAAGAGCATTTTTTTTAACTTCCCCATGACCTCCAAAACCTTGCAAAAGACTAGGCATAGAAACATTTAGTCCTTTTTTGTTTAAGTGCCTAAGCAGAAGTAAGTGACTCAAACTTCAGGAAGTAGCTGCGAGGACACGGTGGCAGGAAATGACAGAAAACCTGAACACGGAACTGAAGCAGCAGCTCATTTTCTTGCTCAGAAGTGGCAACAGCCAGAGAGGGAGCCAAGTGTGGCCGTGAGGAGCTGGGAGCCCCGAGCCGCGCTAACACTGTTGAAGGTGGGTACTCTGAGCAGTGGGAAAGTAAGGGAGCACAGGGCAAGGGCTGAGGTAAGAGAAACCTACCTGGCTCTTGGTCCTTCTGAGAGAAAGTCACTGCTAATAAGCTTTTCACCTTTTATGGCCAGAAGGCCTGGGTGGGAGTGGTTGTGGATAATGAGCATCTGGGGAAAGAAACAGAAGTGGGGTCCTGGAAACCAGGGAACATGATGCAAAACCATCATCCCAAGACCCCTGGTTTCTGTGGACACCAGTGCTGAGAACCAGGTGCTGATGGAGGCAAATGGCATGATGGTGCGACTAGGGCTAGTTTTCTGTGACTGCATGATCACAGAATCTCAGAATGCCAGAGATGGAGGGGGCTTTATAGATTAGCTAGGTTAACCTCTTTGTTTATTTTTTCTGAGACATTCAATGATTTACTAAATTGTTGAAGTTAATATTTGTAAATTGCCTACCCTGGTACCTGGTGAATGAGTACATACTCTGTCTATGTTGATTCCCTTGCCCATGTTCCCACAGGGGCTTAGTGACAGAGCTGGGTGAATTTCTGACTCCCTGTCCATCTACTTTACTGATGCTAAAAGGCAGCCTATGATGAGGCCCTAGGAACCTGAAGTTCTGAGCACCATGTCTCACCAAGTTACTCTCCGGTTTCCCACCTCTAGATAGTACATCTTGGCTTCCCTATTTCTGGCCAGTAGCTCAAAGATATTCAATTGTCTCTGTAGCAGAAACTTTCCTTTATTTTAAAAATACACGAGGAAGGGAGATTTAGGGGAGAGTCAGGCTGAGGCCGCAGAGGAAGAGCAGGAAAGAACAGGACCATCGGTTTTCATTGCTTGCTTATTGCTCACAAATATTGCAGAAATGTCTCCTTTCCAGTTTTTTGTGTGAAGTTCTTTTGTTGCAGAGCAGCCCCGGAGCCAGGACCTAGGTCTTGTGTCCCTGCCCCACCCCCATCCATAACTGTGGCCCCACAGGGGGAGGTGGATCTGGTCTCAGCAATGACTCATCCCACAGTGTGCTGACTTAGTCAAACTGACTCCAATTTGGGCCAGTCAATACTTCTTTGCATCTCTAACCAATCTGCCACAAACTTTCCTTGGGCTGGTTGCCGAGGCATTTTTCAAAGATCAGGGGTTTTCAAGGGGAAAGGAAAACCAGAGAGTCTGAGAGCCTGGGAAAAGGCACTGCAGAGTCCTAGGAGTGTTGTAAGAGGGACTCTAAGAAACAGTGAAGAGCATGAGGAGAGACACCAGTGGGATGAGGAGTCTGAGCCGGGAAGGATGGGCAGGGGAGTCACCAGCCAGCAAGTGGTATCAGGGTTAAGAAGTCTCAGCAGCCATCAGAGCAGGTGAGCATTGTCTGTTTCCTCTTTCCACCAAGATCCAGAGCAACTGTGCAGCTCCTCTTCAAGCACAATTGGCAGGGCCAGTGGAAAAACAGGGGATTCCCAGCAGAATAACAGTTTGGCACCCCTTCAAACTGGTGTTCTCTAAATAGTTCTTTACCGTTTATGTAGTTAATGAAAATCCAATAGTGTCTAATGTTCAAATGAGGAACTCATTACATGCAATTTTGAGTCAGTTATCTTCTTTTGAAATGTAATTACTTGTTTTTAAAAATGGAAGAATAAGTGACTTATTCCCAACAAATAATACTTCCCGTGCATTAACCAGTGTAGGAATTTCAACCCTACTGACCTCATGCCGCCGTTCAGTGGCTGGTCTGAGTAGAGATGGAACACCACTTGAACTGGGGGTTGGAAAATTGCTTAATAGAGTTAAACAGGTTGTAGAGTGGAGTGTGTAGATGTTCACTTATCAAGAGATGGACCAGTATATGTTTTGATAGCTATAAAAGGAGTATATGTAGAAACCTGAGTGAAATGGTGCAATAATTCTAGCGATGCTCTAGCACCCCTCAATTGATTACCACTTCAAGCCACTGCCTGGCTGCTCTCTTGGCAAATGAATGATCCCAGCAGTTTTGACACCCAGGTTATTTAGTGTTACCTATACCCATAATGACTTCTCTCCAGACTCAGGTGTGCCCAGGCCATGTTAGTTTATCTCAAATAATAATAATAAAAACAAACAAAAAACAGAAGTACTTTTCTAAAACTAATCCCTGTTGCCTCAGCTTCTATTATCTTCTAACAAAAAATGACAAGAAACATTGAGCTGCTATATCATTGACTTCAGCATTCTTGTTTTCCCATCTCTTGATTTTCCCCCTAATTATTGCCATCTTCTGTCGCCCTCAGATGTGGAAGTCTGTAGTAGGGCATGATGTATCTGTTTCCGTGGAGACTCAAGGTGATGACTGGGACACAGACCCTGACTTTGTGGTGAGTTTGGAAATAGCTTTGCTTGGATAATGAAAAATAGAGGGGTAACATTTGGGCCATTCTGTAACGTTTCAGTGGGCTTAGAAGGACAGTCTGGGGCTGAGATAGACCCCACGGTGGAACTGACTAGAAGGGCAGTTGGCTGTAATGAGTGGAGCATGCATAATATCTGAGGTTGAGACTTGAAAAGACAGGTGAGAAGGAGAGAGGAGTTTGACTTTGTGATTGATGGGTTATGACAGGCTATGCTAAGGGAGCAGGTTAACCTGGGTCTCCTTTGGCCTATGAGCCAGGATTTGGACTGGATATTTGTAATTTGGGGGGATTGAGAAGTAATAGGAGACCTGAAGAAGAAAGTGTGAGGGATGCAGTAGGAAAGGGGTTTCAGAGCCCACCAGTTAATTTAACATGGGGGCTAGGGTGTGTGCACAGAGAAGCATCTGGCTGAAGGAGGCAGCAGATGCAGGGGACGTAGAGGTCACGGGTGTCAGCTGAAGGCCTCTCTCAGTGTGGCACAGCTCTTGCCATCACTTACCGCTGAGTGCTGTCTTTTGCAGAATGACATCTCTGAGAAGGAGCAACGATGGGGAGCCAAGACCATCGAGGGCTCTGGACGCACAGAACATATCAAGTAGGTGCCAAATGGACTAGGGAGTGGAAAGGGGATGTGAGAAGAGCCCAAGGAAAACTCATAGTCTCAGGGAGAAAGAAAAGAGAGAAGGTAGTTTGTGTCCACGAGTCCTTGTGTTTTTTTCTTGAATCTGTCCTGTGTGTTCCTATGTGTGTGTCATTATGTATTTTTATTTCATGTCTCTCCTCTTATTCTCCCCCCCAACCCTGTTATTTCTCTTTTATTTCTAACTACTAGCTGATTCCCCAAGTGGATCTACCAGTATTATAATGAGTTCAGAGAGGAAGTGGCTCAATTGTGGAGGTTTTATCACACTTTATCATCTACCTATCTATCTATTCACATAAATATAATTGTGTATAGGGTGATTTCAGATGGGCCAAGGAGGAGTCAGTAAGATATCAAGGTTAAAAAAACTCAGAATAAATATTGTAAACATAGGACATCAGGTTGCACATCTAGTCTGAATGATTTTTTTAATTAAAAGTTTGTATTTGGTTACTTGATAGAAGTTGGAAGCTATGAAAGGTGATATGAAAAAATGTGGCCCTTGGAAAACCTGTTGAGTAAAACTATTTTAGTGATGGTGTTTAGGAGCCCTAAAGATTATGACCCAATATTTTACAAAAAACAAAACAAACAAACAAACACACACACAATATTCTGATACCATAAGAGAGAAGTTACTTACAGACATAACTAAGGGTTTCTGTGAGATATAGTATATACTTGGATGGAGAGATTCCCTCTTCTCTTCCCTGGATTATTCAGGGTTATCTAACCAGAGCTGTCTGCTTTGGATAATATCAGAATGTCAAATATTAGTAGCAGGGTAGGTACAATCTATCTATACTAATAAAAGGGTAGTATGCTAATTAGACTGGACGTATTCCAGACGACCATCGGACATCCTTCCGGACAAAGCCGCAGTGGCTGCCCGAGGCTCAGGCAAGCCACAGATGGTGGCTGCTGATGCCCAGGGCTGGCCTGAGGCTCAGGGAAGCTGGCCATGGCAGTTGCCCAGCCGCCCAGGGCCGGCCCAAGGCTTAGGCAAGCTGCCGATGGTGGCTACCCAGTGGCCTGAGGCTCAGTTAGGGGGCAATCATGCTGGCAGGGGAGTAGTTAGGGGGCGATCAGGTCAGCAGGGGAGCTGTTAGGGGCATCAGGCTGGCAAGCAGAAGCAGTTGGGGGCAATCAGGCAGGCAGGTAGGCAAGTGTTTAGGACCCAGCAGTCCCGGATTGCGAGAGAGATGTCTGACTGCCGGTTTAGGCCCGATCCTGTAGGGATCCGGTATTCAGACATCCCCTGAGGGGTCCTGGATTGGAGAGGGTGCAGGCTGGACTGAGAGACATCCCTCTGTGCACAAATTTCGTGCACCGGGGCTCTAGAGAACAATATAACAGGAGCAAAAATAAGAAGTAAAAATTGACAATTACACACAAAGTGGCAAAAACTAATACAGCTCTAAGCTCCATTTTAACTCCCTCTCCCAACTGTAACAACAGTGTTTTTACTTCTTTTCCCCCTAAATTTAAAAAATGTCAGGGGATAGCCACACTACAAAATCTTGGCACATTTTTATATACTTTGATAATATTGAGTTATATGCATTATTGTTTAATCAGACAGACATAAATGGTTTATCTTAAGTAATTGTAATGAATATTATTCTTAAACAAATCAAGCAATTCTGGCAGCAGTCGAAGAGATGTAAAAAAATGGATGAGAGTCATGCAGGAAGCTTCTTTATGCCCTCTGTAGGCTCAACAGGCCCCCTGTCCCCTCCCCCCAAAAGTACCCCTTTTCTTTTCTGGGTAAAGGCCATTCAGCCCTGGTGTCTGAGAACTGTTAAGATTAGAATACAAACTCCCCTTGTTCCTTTTCCTCCCAGTGCCTGTCTCGTAGTAGGAGCAGAACATTTTAAGGAAGACTCCTAATCCCTGCCCTGATCTTATGAAAGAGCTTGAGTTTGGATTCCCAGCTCTGCCATTACCAGCAATGTGAATTTACACATATAACCTCTCTGAATCTCAGCTTATTTGTTTATCAGATGGGGATAATAATAGCTACACTGCAGAATTCAATGAGTTAACATATATCTAAGTCTAGAGCAGTACTTAGCACGTCTTAGCAGCTCAATAATTTGATTTCTCTTTTCTGTTAGTATATAATGGTTTAATCAGACTTTATTTCTAAAAATCTAACACAAACATGTAAACAGATGACAGTCTTCCTTCCTCCTAAGTGGTGTTTATGTAGACTATTGTGTTGCACAATCCAGCACATACATTATGCTGACTGGAGACCCTTGCAATTGTAAAATTTGGTAACCCTAGATGTTCCCTTATTAGCTTTACTGGATCTGCATAAGATAGAATAAATAGTGGAGACATTTATACAAAACCTACTCCCCTCCAATTTTCCCAGGCTACCAAGGTGTAAAAGCCCAGTCTCTGCTAGTGACTGGCCAAGTGACCTTGGACAAGTCGCTTCTCAGATTCTCGGTTTTCCCATTGGGATAAATAAGTCCTCTAGAGGACCTCCCAGTAGTAAGTCCTCTAAGATTCTCTATGGCTAGTGTGGGCTAAGCCAATCTTTAAGATCAGATGGGAATCAATAAGGTTCGTGGGAAAGAGGGGGAAGTTGGAGAGAACAGTAGCTACAGAACTGAGATGACTCAAAGCAGGAAAAGGAAGTGATTGTGGTTCAGACTAATCTTACTACCTCCCCCCACACCATGATCTTTCTTTTTTAGGTCTGTCTAAAATAAATTTAGCTTGGGGAGTGTTTGGTAATTTGGTGAATAGCTCAAGTAACCATCCATCCCTCATCTACGTTCTGGTCCAGGCAGCTCCAAGCAGCCTAATATTTCCTAGGAGTTGCTTGGTTTTCAAGGGCTGTTGCCCCTTTACTCCATCTTCTTCTTGCCACTCTTGACCACTCATACTTGTGTGCCTCTTTACAGTCAGTACACCCCATTCCCTCTCCTGGTAAACACTGATCTGCTTCTTACCACTACAGATCAGTTTTGCCCATCTTAGAATTTCATATAATGGAATAATAGAGAACTTACTCTTTTGTGTCTCTTTTCTTTCACTCAGCATAATGTTTTTGAGATCTATCCATGGTCTTGTGTGTATCGGTCTGTTGTCCTTTATTATTGCCAAGTAGTATTCAATTGTATGAATATATCACAATGGTTTTACCTGTTACCCTGTTGGTAGACATTTAGGTTATTGACAGTTTAGGGCTATGACAAATAAAGCTGTCATGAACATTTGGGTTCAGATCTTTTTGTTGACATATATTTTTATTTCTCTTGAGCAATACCTACCAGAAAAATTGCTGATTCATATATTAAGTGTGTGTTTAATTTTTAAAGAAACTAACAAATTATTTCTGATAGGAATTTACAATGTTTCATTCCTACCAATAATGCATGGTTTTTAAGAGCTCCACATCCTTATCTACACTCATGTGCCTATGTGATAATTTTAATTTGCATTTTTCTGATGATTAATTTTATTGAGCTTCTTTTCATGTGCCATTCATGTATCTTCATATCTTCCTTTTGGTGTCTGTTCAAATCTTTTTTCTCACTTTCAAAGATCAACCATCTTTTTATTCTTATTGAATTTTAAGAGTTATTTATATATTCTGGATACAAGTATTTTGTGAGATATGTGTTGTGCAAATATTTAGCCCAGAGTGTAACTCACTTTTTCATTTTATTAATGGCATCTTTTGAAGATCAGAAGTTATTCTGATGAAGTCTAAATCATAAATTTTTTAGAATTAATCCTATATGTGCCTAAGACATTTTTGCCTATCTCAAAGTTGTGAAAATTTTCTTCTAAAATATTCATAATTTTAGCTTTTACATTTAAGTCTATGATCAAATTAGGTTTTGTATACAGTGTGAGGCAAAGATTAAAGTTTATTTTTTGCATATCGATAGTTCACTATTTCAACACCATTAAAAGACTATTCTTTCCTCATTGATTTACCTGGCATCTTTGGCCATATACATGGGGGTCTATTTCTAGATTTTATATATATATATATATATATATGCCTTCCCTGACCCATATGATACTGATTATTGTATTGACAAGTCATGAAATCAAATAGTCCTCAAATTTTTCTCTCCTTTATAATAACAAAACTTTTAATATTCCAGGATTTTATGTTTCCACATACATTTTAGAGTAAGCTTGTGAATTCCTACAAATATGCCTGTTGGTATTTTGATTGGGATTGCATTGAACCTGTAGATCATTTTGGAAAGAACTGACATATTGAGTTCTCCAATTCATGAATGTGGGATATCTCTCCATTTATTTAAGTCTTTAATTTTTTTCAGAAATGTTTTTATGTGTTCAGGTCTTGTATATGTTTTGTTAAATTTATGCTAAAATGTTTTATGTTATTTCATGTGATGGTAAGTTGCATTTATTTTTAACTTTTAATTTCCAATGTCTGTGGCTACTATGTAAGTAAAATTGATTTTGATAGTGATCTTGTATCCTGTGACCTTGCCAAATGGACTTAATAGTTCTAGTAGCACTTTTTTTTTTGGTAGATTCTTTAGGATTTTCTATATCTGTGATTATATTGTTTGTGAATATAATTTTATAGTCTGAGTTACTCATCTTTGTGCTTTTTACTTTTGTAATAAAAGCAAGATCTCCTTTTCTTAGCTCATTTTTGAGGCCCTCAATTTCACTGGTTCCCAAAAATTGCATTGCTTTATCAATTCTAAGGTATTTTAACTTAAAATAGGCATCTGAGAGTTAATGTGTCAAAAGTTTTATAAGTATGCCACTGAGCACATTGAATTGTAATTTTTTGTTTTCTTCTCTATTACTTCCACCTGACCATAATCTCCATACATTAATCATCTTGGTGTTGTCCTCAGGGCCTAATAGTATCTCACACTCAAAATTTTAATTACTATTTAACTAATATTTATTAAATGAAAGAATGATATAACTAAGACCTACTTAAAGTGGCTTTGGCTATATTCTAAAGAATTTGATAATCTAGTCTTCTTTGACTCCATCATTTTCACTCAAATTATATTATCTATTGGCATGATCCTCTGAGTATCCTTGCTGTCATCCATTAGGTGATATACATGAATCTCATTTTCTAATTCCTTTTAAAAAACTTTTTTCAGCTATCATATCTTTATGACCCATGTAGCAATCATTGCACTCATTAAAACTTTGCAGACTTTTCCCATTTAAAAGTAATGTTTAGTTCCATTTTCTTTGTTCTTCATCTGAGTACTCTGGTTGGGAAGTATCAGTCATTTATGTGTTCTTGGAACCAATATCTTCTTTGACACAGACAGTTCTAAAGTGTTGGTGTTGTTGAGCTAGCAACAAGGATCTCTGCCTTCGCTGCTGCCAGAGGGTTTAGAGCAGGCACGGGAACAGAGGGTTCTTCCAGCACTTAATTTAATTTCATCTGGTTCAAAGCCAGCTTTCTAAAATTAACTGTGACTAAAGCTGAGCAGACTTTGTAAAAAGACCTTTGATGGCCTTATACTACAAGGCCACCAGATGGATCTAGTCTTCCATGAAAGAGGAGAATTTCTGCTGTGAAATGGCCATTCTACCGGTAACCAATGTAATCTGGTTTTCCTGAGTGAGTGAAGTTCCAGTGACATCACTATCTCAATTCCCTAAGTGTTTATTTGTTGCTGTAGGAAGTCAATTATTTTATTTAGGGTTCTCTCGCCTAAAAGTTTCTAAGAATCCCCAGGGGCCTTTATATGTGTCCAAGTATCATTCCTGATTGTCACATATTGGTGCTAGTGCTGAGCTACCACCTCATATCCTCAGACCAAACAGATATGCAGAGGTGCTCTCCACCCCTATGGTAAAGCTGGAAGTGAAGTAAGGAGAATGCCTCCTTTTGGTGTTACATCCTTTAGTGATAGAGGTGTCCCAAATCAACGTTATTTGAGCCTCAGTGTTGCAACAATTAGTGATAACAGTGAACTTTACTAGTTTTTATTCGTTTTTTGTTCTCTTAGTGATTATCAAAGTTAGGAATGAGGGTGAAGGGCATTCGTTTTTTACAAGAAAATACAAAAAATGCTTAATATGTAGATAAATTTCCCAGTGCTACATTTTTCATAACCATCCTTTTAAATGACTTCCTAGTATGCTATTGAAAGATAATAATGCAGTTTACTTACTATTCTTCAGTTATTGCCATATAATTTGTTTCTGGGTTCTTGCTTTACTATATACAATGTTTCAGTGAATATCATTAGACATTAAGCATTTCCATATTTAAAATTATTTCCTTAAGGTAGACTCCCAAGACTAGATTGTATGGGTAAAAGTCTACATGAATATTTTTGTGCTTCTTGAGATAGAGTACCTAATTGCTAGAAAGTGAATTAATTCAGAGGAAAATAATTCCCCAGTTACTAGAATATAGGTATCGATTCCTGGTCAAGGGCATGTACCTGTGTTGCAGGTTTGATCCCTGGTCCCAGTCAGGGCATATGTGGAAGGCAACCAATCGATGTGTCTCTCTCACATCAATGTTTCTTTCTCTCTCTCTTCCTTCCCCCCTCCCTTTCACTCTCTCTTAAACTCAATGGAAAAAATATCCTGGGGTAAGGTTTAACAACAACAAAAATTGGACTAAATATCAGCAGGTTATTTAGTGAGCAAAATTACAGACTAGAGAAAAAACTGTTGGCTTATGGAAAGCTTAAATCAGGCTATGGTATGCAAACCACACTAATCTCTTACTCCCAGACCCAACTCTGGTATACTTTGGGGGCAGGTTATTGCTAAAAATAAATAGGTCACATCTGAAGATTTCAATTTTTCAGGGAGGAGGGTTTGTTGGCTTCTCTGTGTTATACAAATCTCTGTCATGTGGTTACTTCCAGCATCCACCAGCTGAGGAACAAAGTGTCAGAGGAGCATGATAGTCTCAAGAAGAAGGAGTTGGAATCAGGGCCCAAAGCATCCCATGGCTACGGAGGTCGGTTTGGTGTAGAAAGAGACCGAATGGACAAGGTGAGCTGAAAGGGAGATATTTGCTTCATTTTTTAAAAAAAAGATTAATTCATTATGTTGTTTCACTTGTTATTTGTATCATTTTTCCCTATATCAACACATAAATTATAGGCAGCAAAAAATAGATGCCAAGCCCTAACCAGTTTGGCTCAGTGGATAGAGCGTCAGCCTGCGGACTCAAGGGTCCCAGGTTCGATTCTGGTCAAGGGCATGTACCTTGGTTGTGGGCACATCCCCAGTAGGGAGTGTGCAGGAGGCAGCTGATTGATGTTTCTCTCTCATTGATGTTTCTAACTCTCTATCCCTCTCCCTTCCTCTCTGTAAAAAATCAATAAAATATATTTTTAAAAAAATAGAAGCCAAAAAATTGAGAAGGGCTGGCCATAGTAGGTGCAGCTACACTTTAACTCCTAGACTGAGGGGACAGGGAACACAAGTAGAGAAGGGAAAAATGTGTTTTAAAATAAATTACTACTTTTAAATGTTTGTGTTTTATATCTATACTAGAGGCCCAGCACATGAAATCATGCGTGGGTAGCAGCCCTAGGCCTAGCCTGCGAACAAGGCCTTCTTCTGCCTGCTTGCCATTCCCCAGTCCCACCCTGCTGCCATGCCCTGGTTCGCCGTGGTTCCCTGATCACAGCATGGTTCTGGTTCCCCGGAGCCTGTGGGCTGGGAGGAGGGACCAAGCGGTTGGCTGTTCCACCTGCTCGCCAGTCCCGCCCTGCCACCACTCACCTCGGTTCCCCATGGTTCCCTGTTTGCCATGCTATGATCAGAGCCTGCGAGCCGGTGGGGGGAGGGACTGAGAGGTGGTCAATGCACCTCATGGTGACTGGTCGAGTGGTCGTTCCAGTCATTACGCTTATGGTCGCTGGCCTTTTATTATATAGGGTTACAACTTCTCTTATTTTCTTTATTATATATTTAGTATTGTTATGTACTATATGTTATATATCATATAATATGCACATAAGTGTGAAAAATATTGATGTGAATTTATCCATGAGTAGCCTTCCAGTATGAATAGTTGTTATTTTATCAATTAGATGTGTAAATCTAATCTAATAAAAGAGAAACATGCAAATTGACTGTACCTCCCCTATACCCACAAGCCACGCCCACAAGCCAATCAGGAGTGAGTATGCAAATTAACCCAACTAAGATGGCAGCGGCCATGAAGCTGGAGCGAACAGGAGGCTTGGGTTGCCCCCAGCAATGAAGGAAGCCAAGCTTCCCGCCTGCCCTGCCGGCCCTGAGCTCCGCTCAAGGCTACAAAGTTTCAATTATAGAAGATAAATAAATCCCAGATACCTGCTTCCAGCCTGCCTGCAGGCATGGCCAGCCTGAAAATGGCCATCAGCCCCTCACCCAGGCTGGCCAGGCACCCCAGTAGGGTCCCCTACCCTGAAGGGGCTGTGGCCAGCCTGAAAACAGCCCTCAGCCCTTCACCCAGACTGGCCAGGCACCCCAGTGGGACACCCACCCTGATCCAGGACACCCTTCAGAGCAAACCAGCCAGCCCCCACCTGTGCACCAGGCCTCTATCTTATATAATAAAAGGGTAATGTGCAAATTGACCCTAACAGCAGAACGATTGTGAATGACTGGTCACTATGACACACACTGACCACCAGGGGGCAGATGCTCAATGCAGGAGCTGCCCTCTGGTGGTCAGTACGCTCCTACATGGGGGAGCTCTGCTCAACCACAAGCCAGGCTGACGGCTGCCAGCACAGCGGTGGTGGTGGGAACCTCTCCCGCCTCCTCAGCAATGCTAAGGATGTCCTACTGCAGCTTAGGCCTGCTCCCTGCTGGCAAGTGGACATCCCCCGAGGACTCCCAGGCTGCCAGAGGGATGTCTGACTGCCAGCTTAGGCCTGTTCCCCCAGGGAGCGAGCCTAAGCCAGCAAGTAGACATCCCCCGAGGGGTTCCAGACTGCGAGAGGGCACAGGCCGGGCTAAGGGACCCCCCCCCCAGTGCACAAATTTTTGTGCATCGGGCCTCTAGTTTGTAATAAAAGGATGCTTGTATATTGAATCATATTTTCCATTGATTTGCCTAACCTCAAAGATAGAGATATATTTCTATAAGAAAAATGGTTTACTTTTGAGGAGAAAAAAAATCCAATGAAAGCTTTTAGTTCACCTTTAAGAGGTGTTTTATTTTGTCATTGTGTCAAGTGCAACATAGGCATTGTATTCTCCCATGAAATTCCTAACAAAAAAGCAGTCATGTATTCTTAAATTCAACAAGCAAAATTGACCTACACAGACCCCATAATAAAAGCTTAATATGCTAAATGTTCGGTTGTCCGGTTGGCTGTTCAACTAGTCAAAGTGTAATATGCTAATGATATGCTAAGGCCACTCAACAGCTTGCTATGATGTGCACTGACTACCAGTGGGCAGACACTCTGACTGGTAGGTTAGCTTGCTGCTGGGGTCCAGCCAATCAGGACTGAGCGAGATTGGCCGAACATGCCCTGGAGCCTTCCTGCGGCCCCTCCCCAACTGGCCAACTTCCCATCTTCCTCCCTGGCCCCATGCAGGAGCTGCCCCCTGGTGGTGAGTTCACTCCCATAGGGGGAGCGCTGCTTAGCCAGAAGCCAGGCTCATGGCTGGCAAGCGCAGCAAGTGCAGCAGTGGTGGCAGGAGCCTCTCCTGCCTTGGCTGCAGGCGAGCAGTAAGGAGCGAGGGGTCCCAGACTTCGAGAGCCCCAGACTGTGAGAGGGATGTCTGATTGCCAGCTTAGGCCGGACTGTGAGAGGGTTTAGGCAGGGCCGAGCAACACTCTCCCCCGCCCCCTCCAGTGCACGATTTTCATGCACCGTGCCTCTAGTTCATATATAAATATTAGAAGATACATAACTCTTAGGACCAAATAGAAAATAAAACATTAGATGGAGTAAAAAGTGGAGGGGAATAGAAAAGATTTAAGTGACATGCCATCTTGGACTAGTCCCAGTATTGTCTGTCGACCTCCTTTGGGAAAGAGTCAGTCACTGCTAAATATTAGGGCTCAGGTGACATTTCTGAATTTGATGCTCATACAGGAGAAAAGATTCAAAACAAAAGCACCTGGCTGTTTGTGTGAATATTCAATCCTGACTAAGGCATCCAGTCAGTCTCCTTTGGTCTCTCCCCAGTAACCACCCTCATTTCTGTTTCGATTTACAAAGCCTTTGTTTTAGCTCTCTTTTTGTTTCTGGTTTAACCACAGCTCTGTTTTCCTAGTCTCTATCCTTCTGGTTCCCAGCCTGTTCTATGTGAGTTTCCTGAATGATGGGATCTTTTTTTTTTTTTTTGTAAATATATTTTTATTGATTTGGAGAGGAAGGAAGAGGGAGAGAGAGATAGAAACATCCATGATGAGAGAGAATCATGGATTGGCTGCCTCCTGCAAGTCCCCAACTGGGGATTGAGCCCACAACCCGGGCATGTACCCTTGACCAGAATCAAACCTGGGACCTTTCAGTTCCCAGGCTGACACTCTATCCACTGAGCCAAACCGGCTAGGGCTGAATGATGGGATCTTGATGGTGTTAGAGAAGAATCAGGATGTGCAAGGCTCCAGAAGTCACTTTGCTCTCCCATCCTTGTCATCCTTGGCACCACTGGCAGAGGCTAAAAGTCTGACCCAGAATGGAATTTCCTGTATTCTTACATCCCAGCCTGTCTCTGTATCATTTTATTTCTTTAGGGTCATTTTTATCTTGTCACTCATTCCGTCCTTGATTTTTCTCAGAGTGCTGTGGGCCATGAGTATGTTGCTGAGGTGGAGAAGCACTCTTCTCAGACTGATGCTGCCAGAGGTTTTGGGGGCAAATACGGAGTTGAGAAGGACAGGGCAGACAAGGTAAGTAACTGTTCTCTCCGCACACCACCCAGCTCAGAGCCTGAGGGACTTACCAACACTCCCCCTTGAACGTGGGTCTATGGGTCTTCTGTGAAGAACAGGGCAGTGGACTCAAGGAGAGTCCAGCACGAGGACAGCTCCTGTGACCTCCCTCAGCAAGTTCCTTGGTGCCACTGTTGGAGGCCACATACTGAGCTGAAAGGTAGTAATTTAAATGAGATAAAGACTCTCAAACTTTGTTTGAATAAGGAATCCCTCAAACCATTGATTTTTGTTATACCTTGTCTACATGAAGAAAGAAGAGGGAAGTTCCAAAGCTCCTCTTTTGGTCAAACATAAACACCTTATAAATATAGGGTGTCCCCCCAAAATGTATACACACTTTAACAACTGATAACTCACTTAATTTTGAAACTGAACTGTATGTTAGTAAACACTGACTGTATAATCATTCAAAATGTGTATACGTTTTTGGGGGACACCCTGTATATTAATGCCTTTAAGGAAAATAGAGATGTCAGCTTAAATGCTATTACCATGGCAGCAAATAATCAATTAAAAAATAATCAAGTAAAACAACTAATTAGGGTGACAATGTTTTAGAAGGTAAAGGTTACTTTTAACAAGACTTAGCACCAAATCTCTGAAGTCCAGGTGTTTAAAGATTCCTTTGTACAAAACATACAAACAAAAAAATAGTTTTAAAGAGAGAAAAAAGGACGATTACAGATGACAGAGTGGTCACAAGAGTACAATTGATAACTCATTGATGTTGTCAGTTTCACTCCTTAGTAGATCAGATTCTTTGGTCTTGCATTGTGGTGGGTGCAGAATAGTATGTTTCCCCTGCAGCAACACAAAGAAGACATCTCCTTCATAGCTGCTGAAATTCCTTTCTAACCTTCAGTTGTTTATTCGGTGGGCCTGAATCCTTAAAGCTAAGTGTTAGATGTTATTTTACTGTAGATGGGAAAAACACCAGAAAAGTTAAAAACATACTATAAAGGAAAGGAAATATGCAGAGGGCAATGTTTTAAGGCAGTAATGGAATATGAAGCATGTTATGGTCTCCTCTAATCAGGTTGGAATTTTTCTTCCATCTTGGCCTCTTCCTAACATTTCATTGTTCTTTCTTTCATCTTGTGCCTCACAGCCACAAATTGAATCACCTAAACAATCAGTGTGTCATGTAAATCAAGCAACATTACATACTACTAGCTTTACGATGCAAAATCTAGACTCACTTAGAGACCCATAGTTACTGAGCCAGTTGGTGATGTTAGGTGTTGGTCAATACTTATTTACTTATATCCAGTCCCAGGAGCGGTGAGGATCCAGACTCTCCTGGTTGCCTCTCATCCCACTAAAACCCACATCTCTGTGTAGAGAAAGAGAAGAGGCACAGCGTAATTAGTTAGGAATAGGATGCTATTTCTTACATGTCTACAGTGTTTTATAGTTTTTAAGGAATTATTGTCCCATTTTACTGTCATGAGGGTTAGGAAGCAGAGCACTAATTTACTGGGTAACCCAATGAAAACACTTTACATACTTTGCCCCATTTAGTTCTCACAACATCCCAAATGAAGAGGGATCGTTTCTTCCATTTTACAGTTGAGGTTAATGAAACAGGTATATCTATTTTCATTTTATATTTGAAGAGATTGAGGCTCAAATATTAAAGGGCATGTGTAAAGTTAAACAACTCTAAGTAGGGGAGGTGGAATTTGAATCTAGAACTGTCTGTGTCCAGAGTCCATGTTCACTGATTTGTAGCACGCTGCCTCCACAGTAGCCTGTCAGTACTATCTATTTCTACATTAAACCCCCATACACAGGCCTGAGCCACTATAAATGAACCTCTGGGCTAAGCTGGGAGCAAGGATAAATGAGAGAGGGGAAGCATTGTCAGCTCCGACTAACCAATTTTCTCTCCTTTTCTTTGTAGTCAGCAGTTGGCTTTGATTACAAAGGAGAAGTGGAGAAACACACATCTCAGAAAGGCAAGGACCCTGCTGTTCTGCTCAGACTTCAAATAGCCACAGCTGTCAACTCCCTTTTAGTTCCATAACCCACTTCCTCACTATTTCATTTATTTTAAAATCCAACTGTGTACTTGCTTCTTCCTTTCTCCACTTCTTCCTTTCTTCCTTTGCCACTTTCTATGAGATTGATCAAGTTTTATTTAGTCCCACTTTTTTTTCCCTAATGGATTAAAAATAAGGTATTTTACGCCTTTATTTTAGGAGGTTATCCTTAACTTGTAACATGCATCTTTGACTTAAATTTAAACATTATATCTTCCTGCATAATATAAGATACATAGAATATTTTAATTACATTCTTTTTGCATTCTACATTCTTTGTACCAACTGGACAGTTATTATTACCTAGTATATTGATTCTATGTGTTGATAAACCCCACAAAATTGAATCATAATTATTACCTAATAAATACTTATTTAAATTGGTCCACATATTTACCAACTCCCCCTCATCAGTTTGCTGTATTTCATTGTTTCCTCCTGGCTTCTTCTATTTTCTTCTTGCTAAAGTATACCCTTTGATAATTCTTTCAGTGAGTCTATGAAGGAACTCTCAGGCTTTCTTTTAAAAAATCTTTTATTTTCTTCCACTCTTCATTATTATTTTCCATTTGTCACTTTGCAGATATTATTTCTTTCTTTTTTTTGATGGTATGTTTAGATTTGTAAGAAATTACCAAACTGTTTTCCAAAGTATCATTTTTCATTTCCACCAGCAATGTATGAGTTCCTGTTACTCCACTCCTCACCAGCATTTGGTATTGTGAGTGTTCTGGATTTGGGCCATTGAAATAGGCATATACTTAATGTCTCATTTCAATTTACATTTTCCTGATGACATATGATTTAGAGCATCTTTTTATATGCATATTTATCATCTGTATATCTTCTTTGGTAAGATGTTTGTTAAGATCTTTGGCACATTTTTAAAATTGTTTTTTTAATTGTTGAGTTTTAAGAGTTCTTTATATATTTTGGATAACTGTTCTTTATCAGTGTGTCTTTTGCAAATATTTTCTCCCAGTCTATGGCTTGTCTTCTCATTTCCTTGTCATTGTCTTTCACAAAGCAGTTTTTTAATTTTAATTATGTCCAGGCTTATCAATTATTTCTTCCATGGATTGTATCTAAAATATCGCCATACCTAAGGTCATCTAGGTTTTCTCCTTAACCACCCAATGATATTTTTTCTTCATTTTTTTTAGGAGAGAGTGGAAGGGAGGGAGGAGGGGTGAAGAGAGAGAGAGAGAAATATTGATGTGAGAGAAACACATCAATTGGTTGCCTTCTGCATGTACCCTGACTGGCGCCAGGGGTCAAACCCACGATCCTTTGGTCCAAGTGCCAACGCTCTAACCACTGAGAAAACCAACCAGGGCAAGGAGTTTTATAGTTTTGCATTTTACATTTTAGTCTATGATCTATTTTGAGTTAAATTTTGTAAAAGGTATAATGTCTATATCTAGATTCGTTTTGTTTTGCATATGGATGTCCAGTTGTTCCAGTACTATTTGTTGAAAAGTCTAACTTCGCTCCATTATATTGCCTTTGCTCCTTTGTCAAGGATTAGTTGACTATATTTATGGGGTCTATTTCTGGGCTCTCTATACTGTTTCATTGATCTATTTGTCTATTCTTTCACTACATTGTCTTAATTACTGTAACTTTATAGCAAGTCTTAAAGTCAAGTAGCATCAGTCTTCCAACTTTATGTTGGCTACTTTTTCAGTATTGTGTTGGCTTAGGGTCTTTTGCCTCTCCATATAAACTTTAGAATCAAGTGTCAATATCCAAAAAATTACTTGCTGGGATTTTGATTTTGATTGCATTCCATCTATGAATCAATCTGGGAAGAACTGACATCATGACAATATTGAGTCTTCCTATCCATGAGCGTATAATATATCTCCATTTATTTTGTTGTTCTATGGTTTACTTAATCAGGATTTTCCTTATATAGATTTTGTGTATTTTTAAAAGTTACACCTGAGTATTTCTTTGTTGGAGTTGCTAATATAAATGTATTGTATTTTAATTGCAAATTTTAGTTGTTCATGGTTGGTATGTAGGAAAGCAATAGACTTTTGTATATAATCTTATATTCTGCAACCTTACTATAATCACTTATTAGTTTCAAGAATATGCTTGTCAATTCTTTTGGATTTTCTACACAGACCATCATGTCATCTGTAAACAAAGACAATTTTATATCTTCCTTTCCAGTCTGTGTACCTTTTGTTTCCTTTTCTTGCCTTATGGCATTAGCAAGGACTTCCTGTGCAATGTTGAAAAGAATGATGAGAGGAGCCCTCCTTACCTTGTACCTGATCATAGTGGTAAAGATTCAAGTTTCTTACCATTAGGCATGATGTTAGCTGTAGGGTTTTGGTAAATTGTCTTTATCAAGTTTAGAATGTTCCCCTCTATTTCTGGTTTACTAAGTTTTTTTTGTTTTCTTTTTTTTTTAAATCATGAATAGATGTTGGATTTGGTCAAATGCTTTTTTTCTGTATCTATTGAAAAGATCCTGTGGTTTTATTTTTTTTAGTCTGTTGATAGATTACATTAATTGATTTTCAAATGTTGAACCAGCCTTTCATACTTCGGATAAATCCTACTTGGTCGTGGTGTATAATTCTTTTTATACATTGTTGGATTCAATTTGCTAATATTTAGTTGAGGATTTTTGACCCCATGTTTTTGAGAGATATTGGTCTATAGTTTTCTTTCTTATAATATCTTTGTCTGATTTTGCTGGCCTCTTAGAATGAGTTAGAAATTATTCCCTGTGATTTTATTCTTTGAAAGAGTTTGTAGAGAATTGATACATATTTTTTCCCTTAAATGTTTCGCAGAATTCGCCAATGAACCCATCAGGGCCTGGTGTTTTCTGTTTTGGAAGATTATTAATTATTGATTCAATTTCTTTAATAAATATAGGCCTACTCATATCATATGTTTCTTCTTGTGTGAGTTTTGGAAGATTGTGTCTTTCCAAAAATTGTTCTATTTCATCTAGATTTTCAAATTTGTGAGCATAGAGTTGTTCATAGTATTCTTTTATTATTCTTTTAATTTCCATGGGATCTTTGAGATGTCCCCTCTTTCATTTGTGATCTTATTAATTTGTATCCCCCCTTTTTTTATTAGCTTGGCTAGAGGCTTAGTGACTTATTGACCTTTTCAAAGAACCAGCTTTTGTTTTATTGAATTTCTCTATTAATTTGCTGTTTTCAATTGTATTTATTTTTTCTCTAATTTTTTTTTCTTCAGCTTACTTTAAATTTAATTTGCTCTTCTTTTCTAGTTTCCTAAGGTGGAAACTTAGATTACTGAATCTTACTTTTTCTTTCTTCTTTTCTAATATGCATTTAATGCTGTAAGTTTTTCCTTAAGCACTGCTTTTACTGCTTCTCAAAATTTTGGATAAGTTATGTTCTTGATATTTCTTAATTTCTCTTCTCTATTTCCATTTATTTATCTCCTGGTTCTGCATTCTGAGTAACTCCTTTGGATTTATATTAAGTTCACTAATTCTCCCTTCAGCTGGCTTTAGTAATTATTTAAGCTAACTATTAAGTATTTAACTTTCTATCAGATATTTTCATTTCTGGAAGTTTCCCTTGGTTCTATTTTAAATCTCCTGATTTTTTTCCATAATGTCCTGTTTCTTTCATTTTTTAAAATTTATTTTTATTGATTTGAGAGAGAGAGAGAGAGAAACATTGATTTGTAGTTTCACTTACTTATGCATTCATTGGTTGTTTCTTGTATGTGACCTGACAAAAGATCAAACCCACAACCTTGGCATTATCAGGACAACACCTCTAACCAACTGAGCTACCTGGCTATGGCCTGTTGCTTTTATTATATCTCCCCCCGCACCACCACCACCACCCCACCACTTCTTTAAGCTCTTTAATCATTTTTTAAAAATATTTATTTTATAGTTTATTTTATATTGTTATATTATTTGCAGTTCTTGGGGGTGCCAATTCTTCTATTTGGTTATTTTATTTTCCTCATGGTTATTTATTTTGTTGAGGGTTGTGATTTTTGTTTGTGAATTTATTTCAGTGGGGGAGAGATATTTGTTTTATGAGAATTTCATGGGCTGTGGTTTGATTAAGTTTCCCATACAGAGAAATCTTGCCTTTATGTCTGGCTGAATTTTAGAAGTCTTAATAGTAAAGGACCATTTAAAATATATTTTTCACTATAAATTCGATTTAAATAGATGTAGGTCTATTTAGTCTTTCATTAAAAAAAAATTTTTTTTTAGTCAGTTATGATATACTTAGAGGCCCAATGCATGAAATTTGTGCATATATAGGCTCTGCTTCATACCAAGGGGCTCGGCCCTTGCAGCCCTGACCTCACAGCCCCGGCTTCATCCGGAAGGTTGTCCAGACAGTCCTTCTGCTGTCTGGTCTAATTAGCATATTAGCTCTTTATTATATAGGATGGTGTTTTCAAGGAAGTTTTACATTTATCTATATTGTCAAATTTATTTACATAAATTTATTTATATTCTTCCTAACCTCTGCAATATCTGTAGTGATGTGCTCACTTTCATTTCATATTATTAATCTGTTTTTTTCTCTTTTTAATTGATTATTCTTGCTATAAGTTTATCAGTTTCTTTTCAAAAAACTAACTTTTCAAAAAATATTTTTTTAAAAATATATTTTATTGATTTTTTACAGTGAAGAAGGGAGAGAGATGGAGAGTTAGAAACATCGATGAGAGAGAAACATCGATCAGCTGCCCCCTGCACGGCCCCTACTGGGGATGTGCCCGCAACCCAGGTACATGCCCTTGACCGGAATCAAACCTGGGACCTTTCAGTCCACAGGCCGACGCTCTATCCACTGAGCCAAACTGGTTTCGGCTCAAAAAGTATTTTTATTAAATTTATTGGCATGACATTAGTTAATAAGATTATGTAGGTTCCAAGTGTACATTTCTATGATTCATGATCTGTATATTACATTGTGTGCCCATCACCCAAAGGCAAATCATCTTCTGTCACCATGTATTTGACCCCCTTTACTACTCCCACCCCCTTTCCCTCTGTTGTCTGAGTCTATGAGTTTTTTGCTTGTTTGCAAAGAACTAATGTTCGACTTTTCTCATTTTCTTTATTGTTCACTTGTCTTTAAAATTGCATTGATTTCTGCTTTTATCTTTATTTTTTCTTCAATTTAAAGTGAGTTTAGTTTGTTCTTTTTCTAGCTTCTAAAGGAATAGACTCAGGTAATTGATTTTTAAGCCTTTATTTCCTGTATGTGCACTTGAAACTATATATTTCTCTCTAAATACTGCTTTTGCTGCATTTCACAATGTCATGTGTGTTTAAATTTTCACTCATTTTCTTTATGATTTCTTCATTGACCCAAGAGTCAAAGAAGACTCTTCATGTTTCAAGTATTGGGGGGAATTTTCTAGATAATTTTATTATTAATTTAATTCTATTGTGATCAGAGAATATGGCATCTACTATTTCAGTCTTTTGAATGTATTAAAAACTATAGATCAGCATATGATCTAGGTGAATGTACCAATGTACATTAAAAAATGTATATTTTGCAGTTTGGATCTATAGTGTTCTGTAATTGTCAACTGGGTCTTGTTGATAATGTAATTTAGACCTATAATTTTAGATTCTTTTGTCTAAGTTTCTGTCAATTCATGAGAGAAAGGTGTTAACATTTTCAACTATGATACGAATTTGTCTCTTTTTCTTTCTGCTTCTGTCAGTTTTTGCTTCATGAATTTTGATTCTGTTAATAAGATTATGCCAGCATTCATATTCCTGATGAATGATGAATTATTTTCTTATTATTGTACTAGAGGCCCAGTGCACGGATTCGTGCACCAGTGGGGTCCCTCAGCCTGACCTGCAGGGATCAGGCCGAAACTGGCTCTCTGACATCCCCCAAGGGGTCCTGGATTGTGAGAGGGTGCAGGCCAGGCTGAGGGACCCCACCGGTGCACAATTGGGGCCAAGGAGGGACCGTGGGATGGGTCCAGGGTGTGTCTGGCCCATCTCGCCCAGTCCCCATCAGCTGGACCCCAGCAGCAAGCTAACCAACGGGTCAGAGCATCTGCTCCCTGGTGGTCAGTATGCGTAATAGCAACTAGTCAACCGGTCGAACGAACAGTCGAACACTTAGCATATTAGGCTTTTATTATATAGGACTAGAGGCCCAGTGCACAGATTCATGCACCGGTGGAGTCCCTCACCCTGGCCTGTGCCCTCTCTCAATCGGGAACCCTTAGGGGATATCTTATAGCCAGTTTCGGCCCGATCCCCGCAGGCCTGATCCAGACAGGAGGGAGCCCAATCCTGTGCGTTGAGTTTCTGTCCCCTGTTGGCCAGTGCACGTCACTCAGTCATTTGGTCATTTGGTTGCTTAGGCTTTTATATATATATATATATTGTCTCTCTTATCTCTTATAATGCATTTTGTCTTGAGGTCGACTTTGCCTCATATTCGTGACATCTTTCTGATGCTTACTCTTTCTGTGGTATATATTCTCTTAGATAAGTATTTAAATTAATTTCTCAGCTTAGAATTCACATATAAGCAGTGTACAATTAGATATTTGTGTTCCATACACTCAGGTGTGAGACTGTAGTTTCCAAGTCTCTCAGGTAAATTTCCCCCCTATAGTTTGTTGCTGAATAAACTACAAGCCCCCTCACCATTTCTAAAACTCTTTTATAGCAGTGGGCAGAGAATCATTTCCTGCTCTTCAGCCCTCTGTTTATTTCTAGAAATCAGACCCTCAGATCCTAGATTCTAAACCTAAGCAATAAGTTTGGGACTTAAAACACCCTTGAGTTTTCTGTGCCATTAGCTCATAAGTACCCTCAATCTACTGCTTTGATTTATCTATTTGTTTTTGTAGCCAGGAATTTTTTTTAGCTTCACTATTAACAACAACAACAAAAATTGTTATATTTTAGCTGACATTTCTAAATTTTTTATGGAAATAGGAAAAGGCAGACATTTCATATAGATATGCCTCCCCCCTCCCCCCCCGCAGCTTCTCCTTATACTCTTTGTACTTTTCCCTTCCTTGAAGAGAGGAGAATATTGAAATGATCGTCTCATCTTGGCAGGGAAGTAAGAGAGAGAAGATAAAAACAGTGAACAAAAGATGGTTTAGAATACCGTTTCTCTTTAATTCACCTATATTTGAGCCTTGCTCTCTTCCCAGACCCCAGTCACTCATTCTTCTTGACTTTTCTTTTCAATGGCTCTTTCCTGTGGGCTGAGAGTGGGCTCTTATGACTGCTCCTTCCATCACAGATTACTCTCATGGCTTTGGTGGCCGTTATGGAGTAGAAAAGGATAAACGGGACAAGGCAGCTCTGGGATATGACTACAAAGGAGAAACAGAGAAACACGAATCCCAGAGAGGTAAGTCGGAACTGGAGAGGAGGGAGGTCACAGAGTACCATAGAGCCTTAGCCCTTCCTCTCTGTTCTTATTTATTTTTAATGTTTTTATTGATTTGAGAGAGAGAGGAAGGGGGAGAGGGAGAGAAATAGAAACATCTATGAGACAGAAACATCAACATTGATCAGCTGCCTCCTGCACACCCCTACTGAAGATAAAACCTGGAACCTGGGCATGTGCCCTGACTGAGAATTGAACTGGTGACCTCTTGGTGCATGAGTTGATGCTCAACCACTGAGCCATACCTGCTGGACCATCTTTCCTTTCTGGAAGCTGACACAGAGGACCCAGAATATAGAGAGGCAGATGTGCAGTGGAGGTGGTGGGTGAAAAACAATGTGTATGTGTGTGAGGGTCAGTGGAGGTAAACCAAAAGTGGTAGAGAGAAAAACCGTAAGATTAGGGGCAGGACAGAAAAGGGAGGCTTAGGAGAAGGGACCGCTGAGAAAAGGATGAAGACAAACAGGATGGTGATGATAGGAGTGTGATTTGCCTATGATTCCTACCGGCCCCTCTGCCTCACAGAGGATAGAGAGGTCTCCTTCCTCTCTGAGATGCATAGGGGATGGCTGGAGGGCTGTCCTTATTTTCTTCTGTTTCTTCCTTATCATCTCCCCCTTTTCTTTTTATGTTTTCCAATTCTCAGCTTTCTCTTCTCCATTCTCTTCTAAGTTTCTTCTTCCAATCCTTTTGCCTCTCTTCCCATCTTTGCATCTCTCTAGCCTCTGATTCTCATACTTCCTCATCCTCCTCTCTGTCTTCTGGTCTTTCTTCCCCCTGCTCCCTCTTCGCACCCATTTCCAGCATTTTAACTCCTGTATGACTCTTAGACCTTTCTGTCCTGCAGATTATGCCAAGGGCTTTGGTGGTCAGTATGGAATCCAGAAGGACCGAGTGGATAAGGTAAAGTACCAGAGTACCAATGTCTTGAGAATAGTTTCCCAAACTGCCCTGGACGTGCATGGAGAAGAGAAGCAAAGCTGGAAAAAAGGTAGAAAAAGCTAGGTGTACTGGGCTGTCCTCCTGGTGTCCTGCACTCCCCATGGACTGCCCTCAGCGCCTAATGAGCATGTCTTCTGAAGCCTGAGCTTTAACTGAGGCGAGGGAAGGGAGCCAGAGAGAGACAAGGAGACAGATGATGTTTAAAATTTCATTGATTGCTTGGCATTATTTATCCCAATCTGCAGTCTTTTCCCACTCCATGTCACTGATCTCCCCTGCACCAGTTCCTCTTCATAAATTACCCAGGGCCTTGCTGCATTCCATGCAGCTGGATTTGGAGATGTGGGATTCTAGATACACTGCACATTAAAAAAGGGAGCTGAGCCCACCAGTTTAGAACTTCTTTCCCCTTTTCTCTGCCACAAAACAACAGTATTAGAATACCCTGTCCAACTGTTGAGGATCAAATGGTTAGGATACTTCCTACAGTGGCCTCAATCCCTAATATTGCTTTCTGAGTAACTACCACTTCCTTACCACCACCACCACCACCCTCATACCCCCCCCCCCACCCCCCCCCCCCCACACACACACCTACTGTTCTTCTGCAGAGTGCTGTTGGCTTCAATGAAATGGAGGCTCCAACCACAGCTTATAAGAAGACGACACCCATAGAGGCTGGTGAGTGTTAACAATTCCCTTTCTCTATGCTCCTCAACTGCTTCTCCTTTCTCACTCTTTCTTCTCCCCAGACTACCTCCTCCATGCCTTAAACTACCTAGATTAGCTGAGGGACACTTGGCCCCTATCCTCATATTCCCAGGTTCTTTCTCCTAGAAAAATTAGGTTAAAAGGATAAAGAGACAAATGTCTCTTTTTCCTTAAAGTGCTACACTTCCATCCCCTCTCCCGACCCAAGAGAGCCCTAATTCTTCTTGCCTCTGTCTACAGCTTCTAGTGGTGCCCGTGGACTGAAGGCAAAATTTGAGTCCATGGCTGAGGAGAAGAAGAAGAGGGAAGAAGAAGAAAAAGCACAGCAGATGGCCAAGAAGCAACAGGAGAGAAAGGCCCTGGTAAAGATCAGCCACGAGGCTCAGCCACCAGCAACCACTGTGGAAGAGCCAGTGGTGCCGGCCCCATTGCCTAAGAAAATCTCCTCACAGGTGAGTGCTTGGTGCTCTGGGATCCATATCCAGGACCCCTGCCCAAACAGGAGCCTAAAGGTTCCAAATCTTTGGTAGGAAATAAGGCACAGGCTTCCCCTGTGTTAAGCAAATTCTATATAAGTGCTGTCCCTGCCTTCAGGAAAATTTCATTCTGTTATTGGGCCTCATATATACAAGAATGTTAGAAAAACGGGCAAGATTTACACAGTATAATAGAAGCCTGGCGGGCATAGCTCAGTTGAGCATTGATCTATGAACTGAGAGGTCACAGGTTTGATTCCCGGTCCGGGCACATGCCTGGGTTGCGGAAAGACAGGTCACCAGCTGTATACCCAATGGTCGGCAAACTGCAGCTCACGAGCCACATGCGGCTCTTTGGCCCCTTGAGTGTGGCTCTTCCACAAAATACCGACTTCTGCGCATGGGCCACAAAGTTTCAATCGCACTGTATGTGCACGCCCGCACGTGGTATTTTGTGGAAGAGCCACACTCAAAAGGCCAAAGAGCCGCAGGTGGCTCACGAGCCGCAGTTTGCCGACCACTGGTATAGCCAATCATTGCTGCAGGAACTGAGAGGAAAGAGCCATCACTACAGATTGGAGCCCATCTTGATGGATGAGTTGGATTTGGATTGGCAGAGGTAGGAGGGGGTGTTGCAAGTCAGTATAAGAGAGAAAATGGAGGCTTGCTTGCTTACTGGAGAGATGCTTCATTCTCCCCAGGTCTGGCCTCCAGCAGGGAGTTGCTCTTCGCCAGAGCCTGAGCCTGAGCCTGTGAGAACCAGCAGGGGACATCCATTGCCTTCCTTGCCCTCAAGGCAAGAACCCCCAGAGGTAAGCAGAGCCCCAATGATTCTCTGTCCCTTCCCCATCTCCTCATGTCCTAGGAAGATGGGCCATAGAGTATGACCAACCATCCTGGTTTGTCTGAGACTGTCCTGATCTCAATACTGATAGTCCTGCCCAGCCGGTGTGGCTCTGTGGTTGAGTGTTGACCTATGAACCAGGAGGTCACCGTTTGATTCTCAGTCAGGGCACATGCCTGGTTTGCAGGCTCTATCTCCAGTAGGGGGCATGCAGGAGCCAGCCAATCTATGTTTCTCTCCCATTATTGATGTTTCTATCTCTCACTCCCTCTTCTTCCTCTCTGAAATCAATATATAGATTAAAAGAGTCACTTCTTTTAAGAAGAAAAAAAATTTATAGTCCTACATTCTGGGACACAACCCAGTTCTGGGAAGACAAAGAGAGCTGGTCACCCTAGCTGTGGTATTCCCAATAATATGCTTTTGCTTCAACGTTTTCTTGGTCTTCCAAGGAATCTGCTTCCAACTTCCCTTTCTTCAAACCTTTTACATTCCCCTCCTATCATCTGTTTTGAGTGGGTGGGTAGATGTGGAGGTTGAGGAATGAAGAATGGATGAATGACTGTGTATCCTAGGAGAGGCTGTTAAATGGAAGCGAGGGTAGAGGGTAGAAGTGGTAGGATGGTGATGGGTGTGGTCTTAGCAGTCCTCCAATGGAAGGTTTTAGAGCGGCAGCTCCTGGTGAATTCAAATTACCCTGCTCCACACTGTCTCTCCTCAGGATGATGAGGAGGCCCCAGCTTTGCCTCCCAGGACTCTGGAAGGCCTCCAGGTGGAGAAAGAGCCAGTGTATGAAGCAGAGCCTATATATGAAGCAGAGCCTGAGCCTGAGCCTGAGCTGGAGCCAGAGCCAGAGCCTGAGAATGACTATGAGGATGTTGCGCATATGGACAGAAATGAGCAAGATGATGAACTAGAAGGGGACTATGAGGCTGTGCTAGAACCTGAAGATGCCTCATTTCCCTCCTCCGTGGCTGGTGAGTGGTAGAAGAGAGAATCAGCTCCTGAATTTGGTCAGGTCTTGGGGGGGTGGGTGTAAAAGGAAGCATTGCCCCGTTACCCAGAAGAACCTATTTGTTTTGCATGTTGGTGAGACCATGTTTATGTTTCTGATAATGCAGAATCATCAGGCTGTCCGGCTGGGGCTGGGATCTCAGCGAGAGCCCTGTATGATTACCAAGGAGGTAAGTTGGGAGTGACCTGAGGGGTCTGGTGTCTGAAGGTCCTTGAAACAAGAGAGAGGGATGAATTCTGAGGGTCACAGAAGTGTCCAGACTTGGCATCAAGAAGACCAGGGCTATTTCTCTTCCTGAGGTTTAGAGTGGGTATAGGGATAAAGAGATTCCTGTCTAACCATCCTAATATCCTGTCAATTTCCTCTCCAGAGGGAAGTGATGAGATTTCCTTTGACCCAGATGACATCATCACTGACATTGAGATGGTGGACGAGGGCTGGTGGCGGGGACGTTGCCATGGTCACTTTGGACTCTTCCCTGCAAATTATGTCAATCTTCTCCAGTAAATGGCCCAGATTGTATTCTGCACTGTGACTTCCCATGATCAAAGTGGCTCTGCCTCCACTTCCTCCCATCTGCTGCAAGTGTCTAATAGGATGTCATGAGTTGCCTGAGGTTCTAGATAGATTTCTCTCTCCTCCTCCATTAGGGTTTGGGGCAGAGATAGCATGAAGATGCAGCTCTCCTTCATTGTCCTCTCTATCCTGTGTGAGCTCATAGACATGTATCTTGTTGCCCCACCTCCTTCCCCATGAGTGTTCCTTCTAACACCTCAAGCTCTGCCTTCTGCTTTTGTGAGCTCTGAGCTTCCTGGTTTGCTTGCCTAGGAAGGTATGTCTAGACTGCCTGGTTTACCTGGTTGTGCTGTTTGCTTACTTTCCTTCCCTGCAGAGATACCTTTTCTCTGCTCAGTCTTAAAATTGGAAATAAAGTGGGACTATGTTTCACCTCTAGGCTGAAGTACATCATACTTTTTATGCATCTCTCAATGGCCTTGACTCTCATGGCTCCAATTGTCCTTCCCCCCTTCAGGCATATCCAGAAGATTCCCTCCTACCACTGACCATCCTCCTGTGCCCTGATGTCTAGCCTTTTCCTTAGGCTATACTTAAACCCAGTCCTAACAGATCAGCCTGGGGAATGGTGGTAAGGTGGGGAACAGGAGGCCAGGTAGAACTTCTACTGGCTTCAGCAGTTGTGAGAGGCCAGCCACCTTCTGCCTGGGAGTAATGACTACACTCTTCTAGGAGATGAAGATTCTTGAAGAAGCAGCACAAATTAGAGATTAGGAAGGAGGAAAAGGGATATTTGGCAACAACAAAAAAAAAGACAAAAGCTAAAGGAACACAGGCTTCAATGAAGTGATAGAGGATTTAGTCAGAGACAGTGTCCTCTACTCAAGAAAGTTTCAATTTCTTTGTAGCTGGATGACTGAAATTGATGGCCAAGTAAGTGGGTAGATGGGAAAAAACTCATGAAGCTTCTGTGTGGTTCATGGATGAATATGATATGAAAAACAGTGAAGACATTTAGGCAGCCAGTGATGGGCAACAAGCAAATCACTAGCAAAGTATGGGGATGAGGAGAATGAGGACAGGGCATGGTGGGTTTATCCTGGCCCAGGCCATTGTGCTCCTGAAGGCCAGAGATAGGAGATGTGAGGCAAAAATCAGAACAAAATCTAAATCAAAGCCAGAGAGTTGGTTGGTGTAGGGAATCTTGTTAGTAAGACATAGAAGTCTGTGCTGTAACCAGTATCAGAAGTTGGGCCCAACTTTCAAAGATGAAGAAGAGAGTGGCAGCTAGGATTAGTGACCGAGATCCTCAGATGCTCCAGGACTTCCTAAAGCTGTGAGCTGCCCACGTGCCGGGAGCACTATGTCCCTCAGGCTTATTCCCTGGCTTTTCTTTAAGACACACACTCCTTTGTTTTCACAATGACTTCTATGCCAGTGAATCACAAATCTATCTCTAGTCCTACCTTACAAGATTCACCCAGTTAGCCTTTCAGAGTGCAAAGCAGCTTTTATTTCTGCTTAGAGAGACGTTGGGATTTCCAGTACACAAAGGTAAGCCATCATAGATATACACAACCCCCTTCTTCACTTCAGTTTTATTTACCATCACACACAGATCAGAATTTTACAGTGCTTTTCTGGTTACATCTCCAAGTCCCTCCTTGCTTTTTTCACTTTTCCCTTTATTTTAAGATAGAAACTTCTTTTCCAGACCCCTGTGCTATTAAAGCAACAATTCTACAGAACTGCCTCAGTTCTCCAGACCTCTCCCTCCACTTTGGCTGATTTCTACTCTGAACTGATTATCTTGGTGGTGATACTCATCAAGGGCTCTCCTCATAGACATCTTCCATCCAGGCTCCTATTCCTGGGTACACTGTCCCTTTCCACTCCCCTCAGTGCTTCTTAGTCTGAAGCCATGTCTAACCGTCTTGCCTCTGTCAGATAACGCTTGCTGCCCATGCTACTCACTACAGCCTTACCTCACTAACTAAATCATCTTCTGCCTAATTCAGTCTCATAAAAGGTTTTCCTTTTGCTCCAACTGCCCTCTCACCATAAAATGTGCTTGTTTGTATAAACCAGTGCATATACTGCGGTATCCTGCTTTTCTGCAATATGTAAAATTAGATATCTTACAAAATGTGTTTGATGATGTTGATTGATTCAATATTGCTGTGAAGGCAGCAACAAGGAGAGCAAAGTGTGACAGAAACTGTGCAGCCCACAGAGCAGTGTGGCACTGTCCTGATTTCTCCCTGAGCCCTGCCTGCCCCCACCCACCCAGATGGCAAAGGGAAAGCCCTCTGCTCCCTTCCTTTCTCTATACTTCTCTCTCATCTAACAGTAGCCCCTAATTTGTACCTCCCTTGGCTCCCCTTTCTTTCTTTTCTTCTAGTAAAATGAAAGACCCAGAATGGACTTTAGGAGCTTTCTTTTTTCATATAAGGACTTGAGCCAAAATACATGGAACTGATACTTGAAGAAATCTCCCTTTTCCTACCCTTCCCACTTTAGTGTTTAGTTGTTTCTAGTTACTCATCTTCACTGAATAAAATCTTAGCTCACACTCTATATTTTTAGAAAATGTTGCCTTATATACAAATGTGCAATATAAACCAAACCATAAGAATGAGTTACATAACCAAATAGTATCAAGTGGCATATTCTAATGAAAAGTTGAGCATACTTCTGTTCTGGGACTTGCTCAAATGCTTCTTGACTCTTCTCAGAGGTGCCACCTACTTCATCTACACCAGCTTCAGACCATGTTCAGAGAGAGATCCAGGCAACAACAAGCATCCAGATCAACTAGCCTCATTTTTGTTGTTATTGTTGTCTAAATTCTTTGTTCTCTACTTGCCCACAGTGTCTGACTTCCTTTCCCTTCTTTCTCACTTGTTTGAGGGCTGCTAGGACTGAGAAAATGGCACCAATTACAGTGAGAGGGATATAAACACAAGATAAATAGCTTAACTTTCCTGGCTCCAGCTACACTAGGAGAGAGCTGAAGGAATCTGCTTTTGAACATGACCCCAGGGCATACAGGCACACCAAACAAACCAGCTCCACTTAATTCGATTCACAAGTTAATATCTCCATGTGTCTAGAACAGTGATGGCGAACTTATGACATCTTCCATCCAGGAAGATTACCTTATCTCTGATGGCTTACTAGTGTCAGAGGTGTCACGCGAACTCATTTTTTTGGTTGATTTTTCTTTGTTAAAGGGCATTTAAATATATAAAATAAATATCAAAAATATAAGTCTTTGTTTTACTATGGTTGCAAATATCAAAAACTTTCTATATGTGACACGGCACCAGAGTTAAGTTAGGGTTTTTCAAAATGCTGACACGCCGAGCTCAAAAGGTTCGCCATCACTGGTCTAGAACCTACGTAGTAAATACGGAGCTGATGAAGTCATCACCATTGTAGATAACTATGTGTGAGAGAAGAATTTGCTGTACTAAACAGCTGATCCTAACTTACTGCCACTGGTATGTCATCTTTTATGTCATCTTTTAGTCAACCAGGAGTGACTCAGAGGATATTTAACAATGTCTGGAGACAGTTTTGGTTGTTCCAGCTGTGGGTGTACTATGGCTAGAGGCTAAGGATGCTGGAAGATGTCATATGACACACAGGACAGTCCCTAATGACAAAGATTTATTCAGTGCACAATGTCAGCAGTTCCCAGAAACCCTGCTTTAGGGGAAGTCAGTTTCAATTGTGTATTTTTCTTTTAGTTTTGTTCTCATGAGTTTCACTGTTTGTTACCCAAAACTAGCAGTGTCACCCATTTTTGACACCTGAAGACGACCAATAATATGTAGGAACAATGACAGGGAACCACTATTGTTCCGTGACTTCCTTCCTAAGATCCCTGAGTTACTCAGGTGGTGTCTAGGACCTGGTGACTGGTGCCGCAGGACCTGCAGTGGGTGCTGGTGCTGGGCTATGCAATGTTCTTCATAATCCGGACCTATCGTTTTCAGAAGAAAAGAACCTTGACTCTTAAGTCATTATTAAAATGTTTAGATGTAGGCTTGAGGCTTTTTGCCCCAATTTTCTCCATGAATATTGTGTCTTATGGACTCTTCATTTTTCAAGGTTTTCTTATATGTTGCCAAGATTCTGCACAACAAACTCTCTGACCTAATTTCTGCCTTTTATCCTTTGGTTTGTGGTCTCTTCAAGGCTGCTGTGCTCAGCCAAGGTCTCTATTCTGTAGGGCTGTGTTCGGACTGTCTTGGCTTAGGGGCAGTGAGGCAACTAACAACAGCCCTGAGCTTGAATGTCAAGACAACCTCAGCCCCAGAACCTTCAAACTGTGAGCCCTTCACCATGGAGGACCAGCACCGTAGTCCACATCCCTGTATTGCCTGCCCCACAAATCTGAATGTGCTTCTAAACTGACCTCCCACCCCCAATAAAAGCACAGGCCTATACTGGTTATGGAATTCATTGCTCTCTCATTTCTAAGAAATGGGGCTTATCTTCCTCAATGACCTCATTACCTACTTTCTCTTCAACCTGATTTATCTTAGAAATAAAAAAGGAAAGGAAGTAAGTCATCAATATGGTACTATAGCAATTGTACAAGGCAGGGCTTAGGGAATTCTTAGACCTTGAAGGACAATGCATGTTCTAATACACCCAGATAAGCCTATATGCAGTTTACAGAGGGAAGTTCCCCAAGCCACGCTCTGTCCTACTTTCAGTAACTCCAAGGAGAAATTCAAGAATGATGGTATCTGAATCGTTAGTTGGTTTGTCTTCCTTGTGGTCTGGCTCTAAAGGTGGTGACCAAGCTCTCTCGGGCCTGCTCCTGGGGCTGACACATGCTGGTCAAAAGAATTGGGTCAGTCTTGTGCTCTACAACATTGAAAGGACATGTCTTCAGGTGCTCGGACATGGAGGTGACTTCATTAAATTCCCAGCTGTTGATCTTAGAGAAGAGGCTGCTGAATTGCCAGATCTGTTGGGAAAGACAGAAGCTCAAAAGTGAACATTGGGGCAATACCCTCAGGCTAGCTTTATTTGAAGGATGTAAGGAAATGCCTTTCTGTTTTTCCTGGTCTCAGCTTCCAGGGGGTGGTTAGTGGCTGCTGCAGACACTTAGTTAGTTTCTTCTCTAGCACCCAATTCCTAGTTCCTCCTTCCAACTGATAATCTTCCTAGCCAGTCATGCAGTTGTGCTGGAATGACTAATATTAATCTGCATATTGACCCCCCATCCCCACACACACACACACACACACACACACACACACACACACACACACCAGTTCCACAATAGACAGATAGTTCAAATCAGTACAATTAGTTTCAATGAGACTCAACTCCAGAACTTTTTTTTATGTTGAGATATTAAGAAGCAGATTCTTTTTTTTCCTCTGCACTTGAACTGGGAAACAGCAGTTTTAGAAGTTGCTAGCAGCCACCAAGGAACCCTATGTCTTAGAATGGAGCCATTATTAAGAAAGTAGAAATTTTAAAAGGAAAGAAAATCACCATTTGTTTTTCTTGAGCTGCTAGATCAAGCCTTACCTGAAGCTATTCCCTTTGGACTTTTTAGTTATTTGGGGGCCAATGAATTCCCTTTATTGTTTACATCACTTTAAGTTGGTATTCTGGCGTTTGAAACTAAAAGTATTATAACATATAAGAAAGCTTAGAACAGAAATCTTAGTAGAAATCTAGGTGTCTGGTACTCAAACATCCTCTGGCCTTTCTACCTAGAATGTGGTGGCAAAGTCCCTAGTTTTAAAATCTGGCTACGTGAGTAGGCATAACGTGGTACCATTTCAATCTGACCACTTCACCCCCAGTTTATTGCCATTGTTCCTATGTAAGAAAAGTGCTTTCTAGAATCTTAGAACAATTTCCCTTTTACTTTAAAGAGCCATTTTAACTCCAGAAAGAGAATTTAGTTGGAGTTAAAGGATGCTCCAACTAAATTCTCTTTTTTTCTTTCTGCAAGGAAATTAGTTTATCCCAAATGATATCCAAGAATGGGCAGTAATCATTTAATTGAGAACAAACATGGGCCAAAAAATAATGGAATTTCTAGTAAGTAAATGAAATTATTTGCATCTGATTTTACAGAGGAAGATATTAGGCAATTCTAGAGTATACAATTCCCAAAGGGCAGGGCTTTAGACTCATTTGTGCTTATTTCTAGCACATGGTTGGGTGGCAGTCAGTGTTTATTTAACACATGGATGTAGGCATGGGTATATAGGAAGAAAGAATCTCAATTTTTGAAGAAGACTGCTCAGGGAATAAATAATAGTAAATATACACAATGTTTTAGACATATTTAATAAACATAGATGTAAACAACTCTAACTCCCCAATGCCAGTTTGCACACACCCACATATTGGGAAGAAACTCAACTGTGAAATTATGAAATTATTCACCTCAATGGGCATATAAATTTGTGGTTCATATAACCAACATATTTACCATGAGAAAGTATGCTAAGGTCATTTTGGATACGATGAACTAGGAGTTTCACTTCTGTATGGAACAAGAAGTGAAAGTAAGGTGATAGAAGTTATAATAGTTAAGCAAGTATAAACTGACTTATTTACCATGAGAAAGTATGCTAAGGTCATTTTGGATATGATGAACTAGGAGTTTCACTTCTGTATGGTACAAGAAGTGAAAGTAAGGTGATAGAAGTTATAATACAGTTAAGCAAGTATAAACTGACTTGGGGGGGGGAAAGGAACACATTTGATATATACAGCAGGTTGTTGTTTTTTTGAAAACTTCAATAAGCATTTGAACTAGGGGAAGTCATGGAGCAAATTATTTAAGAAATTATTTATTTTCAAAGTGCCTTAACAAAGGCATACATTGTTTAAAATATAGTTGACATGGGACTGAGGGGAATTTGTTGGCTACTGTGTCAATCAGAGTCCAGGCAGGAAACAGATGGCACATTCAAATGGGGTCATTTTGAAGGGTATTTTTTAAAGAAATAATATACAAATTGTGGACATGGTTTAGGAAAGCCACAAGAAATAGTGCAGTACCCAGACTTGAAAGGGAAGAAGAAGGGAAATCACTGGACCAGAATGAGTCATTGTGTGGAAAGAGCCATCTGACATAACCACCTACAGTGGAGAGACATTTCCACTGGGAAGTGTCAGGGAGGGAAAATGCATGCAGGGAGGAAGCCAGAAGAATAGAAATGTCAACCTCACTCTTCTCCCTCCCTCCTGCCCGTCTCCTGCTGATACACGCCCATTAGGTTAACCTAACTGGAAGCTGAAATGCAAGGGAACCAGTTGAGGCAATCTATAGAGATAAGCCTCCTGTGGGGGAGGCGGGGAGCGGGCAGATCTTGGTGGAGAAGGTTGGGGAATGGATCGTGTGAGCACACA